GACCCTTGGGATGCTGGTACAACGATGTGGAGTCAAAATTTGAAGTGTAAATATGGTTTAAATGTGTAAACAGACCAGCCGCGATTTTGCTAACTAAAAACAAGGAGGTGAATGAGGTCATTTTAGTTACTACTTTTCTGAGGGCTGGCGATCTCTCACAATGTATTTAATCTATAAACAGACTACCTGATTATCTTCCTTAGACCCTGTAGATGTAGTTACTACAGTTTGAAGTCGAAATTCGAAGTATAAATATGGTTTAAATGTGTAAACAGGGACGCCTGACGTCCACGTTCAATATTAGCATAAGCTAACCAGAGAGTGCCGGCAGAACGTAATAAAACATTAACTCCATTCAGTACATCGTAACAGTACAGTGGGGTGGCTGTGTTATATCAGTACATTAATATTCTATTTATTTTGGTTTTACTCACTCTCTCAGATCTCACTGCTCTCTCAAAACACACGGGGATTTCTGTCCGTCGCATACGGCAGCCGGTGAGGTTAAGAGGTGGGCGTTAACGTCTAACGCTCGACTAACGCTCGACAATCCGAGCTGCTGATTGGCCCAGAGCTGACAACGCTCGACTAACGCTCGACAGCACTGGCTGCTGATTGGCCCAGAGCTGACAACGCTCGACTAACGCTCGACAGCACTGGCTGCTGCTCATTGGCTGGCATACAGAGACCATTGCTGGTCATATTGCGCGAAGAAGCAAGGGAGCCGTGCGGAGCGCGGAGGGCGGCGTGCGCAGCCGGCCCCCGGCCCCGGGTCGGCCGCATTTCCCCGGGCTCGTGTGATAAAAAGCAGCCCCAAAGAGCCTCTCCTTCTATTTCTCCCGATTATAACGCCAAAGAATTGGAACGATCCCCCCTTTCCCCCCTCCTTCTCTCGACATGTGTCAGTCAAAAGCTGTTGTCCTACGTCATCCCGAGCACATGGCTACTTATCATACGGCGGCGACACGGAGAATTAAAGGCCCCGCACGCATTTAAAGCGACGAGACCTGTTTGGTTAAATGTACATTAATATTTGAATGGTTTTGGCCTCATGAATGGCTCCAGGTTTGTTTGGTTAAATGTACATTAATATTTGAATGGTTTTGGCCTCATGAATGGCTCCAGGTTTAAAAAGTTATGTTAAAAAATATTTAAATAGAGAAGACAAGGATTTAATCAATTAAATGTTTATTAGAAAGGGTCAAAATGTATAACATAAGCTGGGAAATTGCAGTGTAGCAGCAGCATTACACACAGTAACAACAAACAAACACACACACACACACACAAATCAAAAAAAGCAATATAGAATGCAATATAAAATATGTATAAATAACCAGTATAATGCAGTGCAAAGTAAAAATAAAAAATATAAGGTGCAATGAACAGATGAAACATATAAGGTGCTTGGATAATACAGTACAGTTGGATAATTTTAATGTTTTTGTGACCTCTTCTCAGCCAGCCACAGCTCCACAGTCTTCCCTTCATAAAGAGCACAGAAGTGTTCTCCCCCATACTGGCTGTGGCCAAAGTCTTTCTGCTGTGGCTGGCCACAGAGCTGGCAGATCCTCAGTTTGTGGGGCTTCCTCACTTTCCCCCCCGGTTTCTCTGGTTTCTCATACTTCCGTTTGAGGTTCCAGGCTGTTGTTCTGGGGAGCTTATGCAGCTTACCAGGGCCAAGCTGTTCCCTGGTCCACTCTTGCACTGTGCGTCCTCCAGGGCCCTCTTTCACAGCACAAAAGTATTGGCCCTTGAAGTACGCGTGGCCACCATCCACCGTGCATGCTTGGTCACAGATGTAGCAGGGGTCCCCAGGCTTGTGCTGTGGCTTTCCCCTGCTACTTTGGAGGACTTTTTTGTCTTTTGCCGCTTTAATTTTGCGCCTGTACAGAGTGCAACGGGTGGGCTTGCTGGTCCCCGCCACTGGCTCTGCTGCCTGAAGCTGTCGAGGAGAGGAGCTGGAGGAGGATGAGGAGGAGGTGCAGTCGTAGTCCCCTAAAATATAAAATACAAGACAGAACTCTGTTAGTCAAGGTACATAGAAACACATATGTAGTTTTAAAAAGTGTATTTGTAACAAACCTAATGAAGTGACATGTTTGGTTTTTCGCTTTGCTTTTCTGCCTTCCATTCTGTCCAAATAAAATGCTTGAATGAATTGACTGTCTGTTTTTTGCCTTCTTTTTGAAACCCCTCTTGGGGGAGACACACCTACCAGTCCGGTCCTCTCTCAGTCCGGTCAAACCCCAAGTTCTCGCAGGAGGTAAGAGCCCCCCTGTTGTTTTAATCAGGAAGCCAGGAGGTGAGAAGTGAAGGCCCCTCGGCACCCCCTGTTGTTTTACAATGTCCACTTGTAAAAGGCCAATTCTCACCTAGTCTCTAAGTAAGCCTTTGAACCTGACCTGGTTTGACCCCTTGACCCTAGTTTTAAGTGAGGAGAGGGAATGATGTATTGTGACTGTAACTTGTGGGGATTTACTGCTATCAGGCACCTATTCTAGATACCTAGTCTTCCCTATATTTATTTAATTTCTTAAAGGCAGAAAGAAGCAGGAGAAAGCATTGGTTTCAAAAAGAAAAGTTTATTTAAACTAAAACAATTAAGACAACTATATACAACTATATAGATATTGGAATTTGCCCATTGTGGGACAAATAAAGGTATAACTTATATATGACAACTATATACATAATATTAATTTAACAAACACAACTGACTTACTAAATACATACACACATATACACAATATTTACAAATCCCTCCCTCCCAAACACACACACACACACACACACTCACACACACACACACACTCACACACACTCTCACACACACTCACACACACTCACACACACTCACACTGCCACTTCAGATCAGATGTGAGAGAAAGGATCAGGTCTTACCATTGCGTCAGGGTCCGCTGATTGACCTCATACAGCTGGATGCGGGTGCTCGTCATGAGGGCTGCACAACTATAAACATTCTCTCGAATTGTTTGATAGTCCCTCATGACGGCACTCCAGCGATGAAGGCGGACCCCGGCAATCGTCCTCTCCTCGCCGCAGTGGAGGATGCTGAGGTCCAGCAGGACAGCCTCCACAAGCCTTGACACATCGGGAGACTGCGCCGCTCCCGCCCCCCTTGCCCAGGACCGCACTACATTGACACACACAGAGAGAGAGAGAGAGAGAGAGAGTGAGTTAGTTTGTGACTGACAGCACAGAACAAGAACTAAACAAAGCTTGGAAATTTATTGTGACTGCTTACCGCTTCACACTAGCCACCCCTGGCGTGTGAGCGTGCCGCTGGCTGGTCCTGAATCGGCCCTGGACGAGCCGGTCCTGGTGACGGGGGGGGAATTTGACCGCCGCCTTGTCCCAGTCACTCAACTTCAGCCAGAGAGCGGTGACCTCTCTGGCTTGCCTGGGAGTGACGTAGCGGTGGTGGCGCAGTTCCACCTGTGTACTCCCTGGGCATGGTGTACATGTCGACCAGTGTGCGCCCAAGAAGCTCTTGGGTCAGCTGGTCGAAGCTGTGCTGCAGCTGGGCACTGTAGCAACGCAGCGCCGACCTCTGTCCTCCCTCGACTGCCGCCCTGCCTCGATTCTCGTTCCACCGCACCAGGCCCTCCAGCAGGTACACCTGGAAGTGTACATCACTTGCAGATTGGCCTAAGCAGAAACAAAGCAACACAGTTAGTGTGAGGACAAATAAACACACAAATACATAATTGAGTCTGTGTTGTAAACCACACATGTACTTACCTGGGATGAAGCGGCACAGGTGCAGGTGGAACGATTCCAGGGAAGTGGAGCCTCGGCCGCACCGGGTAGACGGGGAGCCTCACCCCGCCTTTGGTGAGCTCTCCCGTCTTGGTGTAGAGGTCCACTCCCGCAGGGTCCTGAATGCAGTCGAGGTGTCGGCGCTGCGTGCTCCAGATCTCCTCCATTCGGGCGCGGTCGATCAAAGGGACGCCCATGCTGTCCGTCACGTGCCAGAAGGTGTCCAGCACCTCTTGGACCAGCCGCTCCGTCTCCACTGCACCCCTGGTGCGGCGCCGGCAGTGACGGGCTAGCTCCTTGGCGGACAGCTTGACCTCCTGGGCGTCCCTCCCCTCCTCGGACTGCTTGGCTCCTCTCAGGCGGGACACGTCTTCGGCGTCCCACTCAAAAATGGCGAAGGAGAGCCTCGCCATGAAGAGGCCGTAGAGCTGGTGGCTGTCAGTGGTCACCCCTCTGGCGAAACGCCGCATGAGGTGCCACACGTCGAGCCTGACGACCAGCTCGTGCCACTCGTGGAACAGCTTGGACGTTTGACACTGTCCCACGGTGGCACAGCAGTCCCGGTCCACGTACAGGACCCTTGGAGGGGCCTTCCTGGCTTCGCGGTACCGCCGCATCAGTCCGGCCGCCATGTCGACAAGTCCGCCCCCCTCAGCTGCGGTGAGGACAGACATGAGCACCTGCCCGTACTCATTGCCGACGTTGGTGACCCAGGCGGCCGTCCCGGCAGCACCGCCCGCAAGCTTTTTGGTGATCTGTGTGACACAGCAACACAACAACATTCAGACACATGACAAAACAAACATTACACTGGGTACACGGCACGCTGTGGTGGATAACAAAACCTACCTTCTTGGTGGAGTCCATCTTCAAAAGATCACCAAAGATGGAAGTGACTCTGGCTCTCGTCTCGTCGAGCCTCGTCAAGGCGTCCCTGACGTAGACGTTGATGAGCCAGAGCACTGTGGGCACCCAAAGACCTCTTAAGATGTCTGATATGATACATCAGGTCACGCACGGATGTGTTGAAAACAGCTACAGATCTGCCAAAACTAGATGCCAGCCCAGATGCATCACGAGTCCCAGAATCAACTACCACAAAGTACTTATTGTGATGAATAATTGCACTGACTGAACCTTGGAGGTTCAACAAACACATTCCATCACTCAGCAAAGTTTCCTGTAGCTGTTCATACATCACACTGTTGTCATCCAAAAACCCAAAATCTCCGTACACTGGCGAGGCAACGTCTACCTTCCACTTCCTGCCAAACAAACTACCCTGTTCAATCAATTTACACAGTTTAATCTCAACACTGTCCTGGCTTCCTTCAGCAACTAAACTGGCCAACTTGCTGCCTTCTGCACAGATATCATCAATATCTTTCCCTCGCCATGTACAAACCGGAGCAATTGCATGTTTTATCGCAGCTACAACACTACCCGCTATTGATACATTTACATCCTGAGTTAATGGTGCTGCTCTGAGTTTACCGGAAACTACTGGTGCTATTGGCTCGTTTTCTAAACACCTGCAAGAAATTGGGTTAGCATCATACTCATCTTTGACAGATCTTGGTGTGCTGACTTCCTCCTCGTCAGCTGTGGCAGGTGATGGGTCTGGGAAGGCATCCACCACGCCTGGTGTCACCGGGGCCTAAAGAAAAACAAAAAGAAAAAAAACATGTATTTGTTACTTACATGTTACTTTCAACATACACTTGTGAACCTTAAAGTTGTTTTGTATTTAACTTTAATATATACTGTATCAACAAGAAAACAGCTTTGCATGCACCATTTAAAACACATTTGTGAAATGTGTGATATAACATGCACCAACCTCCTCCTCCTGCGCAGCAGCAACCACTTCCACAGCCGTGGCAGGTGAAGGCTCTGGGGATGTGTCCACCACGCATGGTGTCACCTGAGCCTAAAATAATCAAACAAAAATTAAATATTGTGTATTAACAAAATACAACTTTTTTTTTTTTAATTACACACACACACACACACACACACACACACACACACACTAAAACTCAAATGAGGTCTTGTCATTTCAACATGTTCAACTTTGTCAACTTGGTGCATACTGAAATATCTTTGCATTCTCCATTTAAAACACATGTGTAAATGTATGGTGTAGCATGCACCAACCTCTGCAGCAGCAACCACTTTCACAGGACTGGCAGGTGTGGGACGGGGACACACCTCCACAACACTGGGTGTTGCCTCAACCTGAAAACAACCAACACAAAATGTAACTACAAAAATGAAATATAAAGTTGCCATGTATTTTCTAATGATCTAAATAACAGACGAAATACATCAAACACAAAGAAATATTAAATTATTGCTGCCTGTCTGTCAAACTGTACAAACCAGTAAAATATTTAATATAATAAAAACAAACCTGGCGCTTTGCAGGTCTCCTCTTGCAGGCAACAGCTTTCCGCCTACGTTCCACGACAGGTTTCTAATGTAAAGAAGGAAACCAAATAACCTTTAAAACTATATTTGGGGAAAAGCTCCTTTTGGGCTTAAGCAATTTTTAAAGGGTGTTAATTTCAGGAAGAAGCAGAAACCAACACATACAATCTGAATGCAAATTACCGTTTTGTCATGTGGAACAGCGGTGCACTCAGGGGTAGGAAGATGGGAAGGGACAACAGCATCCATGACAGCCAACATGGAAATGCTGAACCTCACGGGGTTCAGCGGGATGAAGCACTCCTTCAATGCGACAGGAGTGGCAACAAACTAACAAATAAAAATAAAAAACACATAATAAAACAGTATTAGACAATTTCTCTCATCTATAATCAATGGACAAATAACCAATTAACCTATCATAACTATTTATGTAAAAGCATAACAAACCTGCTGTTGAACCTTTATCTTTTCGGTGCACCAGAGGACTGTGCAGGTTCCTCAGGTACCGGTACATTCCTCTGTAATGAAAAACAGCAGATATGTTAAAAAGAAGTACCCACTCACCATAACAGAAATAAACTGCTGGGAGAAAATCAGTCTCAACACCTAAATTACAGTGTGCAAATATTACCTTCCTGCCCCTCTCCACAGACGTCCACTCGTAAGGGTAAGAGGGGCGAGGCACGATGACCTCTCCCCTCACAACGACCCTTGGAGTGACGTGACGAACAGGCAATGATGTCCTGGGAGCGGCCTGCGGTTTTGGTACAGGCACCTCCAGTGACGCGTAAGCTGCAGCCCACAGCAAACGAGTGAGGACCACCATGCCTTCGCCATCACTCAAGTGAACCTGACCAAAAGTTAGAGTAATACATTTAGTGATCATAAAATGTACTCTCAATTTGCATCTGCTATGAACTGAACTACTGCAATGTGTACATCAAACTTTTCCATTTCCTCACAATATACTCTACTTACACCATCTGGGCTCCACAGGTCCAAGTTGTTCAAAGGGAAGTGGCCAGAAGACGAGAAGTACTTGATACCTTAAATAACAACAAGAAGCTGATTAATTATTTACATACTTAAATACATTATCTTCTTTTTAAATTACAAAATAATGACTATTATGGACAAAATAATAATAATTCAAACATTTTTTCAAAATATATTTTGAAACGTACCCATTCTTGCTGCCACTCGATGGAACACTTGACGCATGAACTCTTGTAGCTGAGGATCAACAGTCAGACGTGGCACAAAGTCCAAGACAAAGACCTGCACAGAACAATTGTTCACTATTAAAGTACTTCTCCTCAAAATATCATAACCTTTAAAATAAATGTACATTATACTGTAATAGCTCATGGAACCAAATTAATCCTAGTACGAAAAGGTGTAATAGTAAATACAATATAATCAATAACCTACATTGGGCCAATGACTGCGGGCACTGTACAGGAGCTTCTGGAAGTCAGCTCCTGCCTCAAGGGGGTCCGGCTGGCTGTCAGGTTGTTGCTGGGGGCCATGATGCAGACTGCGTCCGGGGGTCCGAGGTACGTCAGCGTTGAGTAACTCGGTCCTCAGGTCGGACGCACCGGCCCCCGGTGTGGACATGACACCAAAGGAAAGCATTCCCTCTGGCATCGGCACGATCCCGTCTGCAATGGAGCGCAGATGGGACGCTCCTACAATAAGAACAAACTGGGGAGGGGGCACAGAAGGAATATCATTAGAATGAAAATCACTAATCAATCATCAGAGCAGATATTTTGTTTATAAATTGCGAAATGCATTACCTTCTTATCAGGAGACTCAGCAGGGATGACCAGCTTGTGTTGGCGGGCCGTGACTGAAACTGGCCATTTCCTCACACGATGGCGTGTACCGGTGCCACGGCCTATTATAAAACACAGAAACAAACACCAAAATAAAACTTAATTAACCACTGCAAAATTAGTTATGACACATGCACACCTTACACATATAGGCAGAATAGTTGAATAAATGAAACGTGTACTTACGAGGAACAAAGTCACGACTGGGCCACTTACGGTAACCTTCTCGCGCTCTGCCTCCCTCCTCCCAGCAGCCTCAGAGCGACGAAAGGACTTGCCACGTGGCATCTAAAAGGATGCAAGAATAAATTATAATGACATTTAATCACACTCACAAGACACTTTAAGGCAGGGGTGTCAAACTCATTTTGGTTCAGGGGCCACATACAACCCAATTTGACCTTAAGTGAGCTGGACCAGTAAAAGGCATAGTTAATAATAACGCAGGTCTGCAATGGTGAATGAAATGATCCGGATGTAGTAAAACGCACAGACTCAGAGCTTCAGAGGGTTTTAAACCGTTTCAATGTCCTACACAAATATATAAATGTTTAAACTTCAGTCAATATGTACATAATGCACATCATTAGATCATTAGTTATAGAGTCTCCACAATTCAATCGCTCACTTCATTTTACGGAAACTATAAACACCAAAGTAACGTTATAACGTTGATTCATTCGGACTTAACACGGTAAACAACAGAGACGGTAAACAACTCTAAAGCGGGAATAAAGTCTGTACGGTCTGTGTCCGTTCCTCCATTAAGAGTCCATGTATCACTACAAAAGGTTTCATTACATTAATATCATCATGTATAGTCCGTCACTCACGGTCTGTTTACTGTCTGTACGCCGGCCGGATGACGTAAATATGCAGCTGACGTAAAGCGGCGTTCACGTTCACTGTCATGGCTGCGGCGCATATAAACCAGCAGTAGAGCTAAAATGTACCGTAAGTTACAATTACCATACGAAACTGAAGAGAAACAGTACAGTTAGAGAATATTTCCATATGTGCTGAGCAACAGTTTGTGCTAAAGGAAATAAACGCAGGTCCCCAATTCAGTGTTTTAAGCAAATACACGCCGGACAATTATTATAAGTTTTACGGTATTTTATTTACTGTTAGTGCTTTGTTCAGCAATGCATCATATTCATTAACATAATCATACATTATTATCAATAATACAGATTGTAATTGTTAAAATTAAACTCACCGTAGAAGGCAAATCCTCTGCTTCCAAAGTGAATGAATGTGTGTGTATGTATAGATGTGTATGTGTATGTCTCCAACTCTCTCTCAATAGCTCTCCAACTCTCTCTCAATAGCTCTCAGGGTTTGCGTACACAAAAACAGCTCCGTATCTCTCTCTCTGTTGTTGTGCTAGCTAGGCTACTGGCGACATTCGAAAAATTTGGTTCAACCAATCAGAGCGCGGTACAGGAAGGTAGGGTGGATCATTACGATGAACCGTGTTGTACAATAATGTGAAACTGGACATTAATTATCTGATAAAATTGTTTAGTACTATTACAATGTTTTATAATTTTCAGAAATAAATATATATGTGTCTGTTAATTTATTTTAGCTAAAATAAAAGATATAGCCTAAACCCTCAACCCAGCATGAAATGGTTCAGTCCTACCAATGTGCAAACCGTAATTTCTTATAAAAAAAAAAAAAAAACAACCGGAAATAGAATGTCAAAATAAATGTCGTATTGAATGCTTTCATTATAAATTATGTAATGGATTTTTAAGTAATTTCGTACCATAAACACAAAAGCACTAAACAGTAATATGGTTTAAGTACATTAAATATCATTATTGATAAAATTGCAACCTCCCCATTCACTTACTGATTTGTTTACATTAAATAAACTATCAAATTAATGACGGCTACAGACACTAATAAATTAAATAATTTTAGCATATTCATATACATTTTCCACTACAAAGTTATATGTGTTGTCAACAACACAAGATTGTATGAAAAACTCTAAATTTTCGTGTGGTAACCTATCAACACATGGCTAATTTTAATATTCAAATGAGCCATGTGTTCACAACAGGTCTCTCACAGTTGCTAGGTTACCACCAGGCTGTCAATCAAGCTCTCAGCTACAGAGAACTTAACCTTACCCTTTATCTATCCAGATAAAAACATTAAGAACAGTTTCTGTATGATGTTTATTAGACCTATGTCATCTGAATTGGAAGGGCACGTTGTCATGAGCTGTATCTTGTATATTTATTATTAGCTATGTGGTATGTGTATGCACCTTTATGTAATCTGGTGGAAAAACATTAAAATATAAAACCGGATACCAAAAAAATATCTGCTTGCGTGTACCTGTGTATGCAAAGTGTCCTCCTTTTTGATGTGGAGGAAATGGCCACCCTAATCTGGAGTTGTAACAAAAGTAATTATTTGTTTGTAAGTATTTATGATTCTGAAATTGATGACTTAAATATAGATGTTCATTTATACTTCTTCATCCATTCAAACACAGAAATACAGTATTACTGTCCAGCTGTATCTTTACTGCCAACTAAAGCTTGTTTACTAATACTTCAACATATCAGGACATAGGATGTGTTTTCTGTGGTACAACATTTCTGGAAATATGAGGCGACATTAGACATTAATCTCCTATTTTATAAAAGTGTTAAATGCTTAATAACCACAGAAACTATTTCAATTTTTTAAATAAATGTATTTATTATTTTTGTTTAATTTGTTGGAGTTTCCTCCTGCTCCTCCCTCCTCCTCCTCCTGCTGGCCTGGCTCACCACTGGCCTGCTGCTCCTGCTCCTGCTGGCCTGGCTCACCACTGGCCTGCTGCTCCTGCTCCTGCTGGCCTGGCTCACCACTGGCCTGCTGCTCTGCGACTGCACACATGGACGCAGATAAAAATAAATCTTAATTTTATCAGTCTTGCATCCAATCAATAAAAAACACAAATATATTAATTCACTCAAAAAGCAGAGGGTTAGGGTTAGGGTTAGGGTTAGGTTAAAGGAGTTAGTCCTGTAATAGGACTGGGACCTCACCCTCGCTGGACGAGGATGAGGCGGTGCGCGGTCCATCCTCCAGTCAGCTCTCGCTCCCTCGTGTACATCATATTGTGGTTGATAAGTTCGCTCTCGGGCGCGTCCCTGTCGTTTTCCCCTTCTCACTGTCTGCCATTCTCCTTCATTCTGATACTCCATGTTGAACAAGTAAGATTTTTTTAATATAATTAATGAACTGATTAATGATACAATGTAATAAGATAATGAACTGATTGATGCTATTTACACTATTTATAATACACCCCTCTATATTTTAATCTAATTAGCGGTGTATTTTTTTAATCAGTGGAGCCTTTGTTATCTAGTAATAAACTAAAAACCTAAATCTAATAATGTAAAAGAAAAGAAATTTTAAAGTAAACAAAAAGATCTAATTTAAATTTTATTTTTGAAAGATTGATCCAATTATGTGTGTCTACATGCGCGACGTTTCGACCTTGTGTAGGTCTTCCTCAGGCGTAGACACACTGAGTTGAATGGTTAGGTTTGGGTTGGGGTGGGGGTCTCCACCTAAGTGGAGGCCCCCAAAGTGCACTCTCCACCCTGTGGATGGCCAGCTCTCCGTCCCCATCTTCTCTAAAGAGGTTTTATAAGCTCATTATTTGAGTTATGTTAGACCGGTTCGCCTTTGTTATATGAAGTATAAGTTATATTGTATGTAGGTCCTCAGTTTGTCAATTTTTTTGCACTTTTGTTTTTTGTTGTGTGGCTCCTTTAATTTCCCTCATGTTATGTTCTCTTTCTCTTGTATGTCAGGTGACGCTCGCGACGTTTCGTCCTCTTCTTGGGACTTCTTCAGGCTGTCATGACATACAGGTATTTTTCCTTTTAGGTGGAGGTAAGTATTCCCTTTGGTTGAGGTAAGTATTCCCTTTAGTTGAGGTAAGTATTCCCTTTAGTTGAGGTAAGTATTCCCTTTAGTTGAGGTAAGTATTCCCTTTAGTTGAGGTAAGTATTCCCTTTAATTGAGGTAAGTATCCCCTATGAATGAGCCCCTCTGGGGAGAAATGGCTCCCTCAGAGGTCCGTGCCAAACTGAGTTCCAAAATGTCTGCCGCTCCCTTTTATACTCTGAGCCCCTCCCTTTCTGAAAATTCGTGTCCTCCCTCCTGTCATTGCAGTGATTTCTTGTAACCGTTGTTTCCCATGTCTTTTTTCCAATTAAAATCTTTATTCCCTGGCTCCAATTCTTTCCCTTAGATTTATTAAGTGTTCATAACTATGATTACACTTCTTCCGTTGGGTATGTGTGCCTCCCTTTAATGGCTACACGTCATCCATTGTATTAAATTGCCTACTTTAGTCAGTGGCTTCAAACATTATATGGGCTTAAGATGTCCTTCACTGAGGTTTAAATAAATCAAGGCCAGGATTTTGGGGTCAGGGTTAGAGATTCCAATTAAATCAGGACTGGGGTTTGGGGTTAAGGCCACAAAAGGGGCTTAGTTTAGGTCAAATTGGTTAGGGTTAGGACAGAAATAGATATGGGCTGGGGTTAGGTGGGATAGAGTATGGGATTTAGACTGGGTTAGCTTATTATAGCTTAGCATGGGTAGGAGCACTGACCATTGACCCAC